TTTTACGAATTTTCGATTTCATTATTTAGGTTATGATTAGCGTAAGCTTTTGAAATGTATATCGGAGAGATTTAGGATTGCGTTATCGTTGAAAATAAATCGTTAGAAATTAAAACTTATTTTTGCGCGAAAAGAGAAAAAATTGAATCCCTAAAGTATATTATCAAAGAGGTCATTTGGGTCGTTTGGACGCCCTTTATATGCCGGTTATCAACCGAAAAACATTGAAACAAACTAACCCAAGAACAAGAAAACTTTTTTGTGAATTTTAATCAACGCGTACCGAGGTTTGTATGCCGTTTTTCCATTATAGTCATTTTTTTGTCTTTTTAAAAACTAAAATTATGTGACTAGTTTAGGCCAGACTTATATTCATAAAAACTTTTTTTGCCAAGTCAAAAATCCCCATGCAATCGTCGATGACGCAGAATGTATATTTGGCTATAAAATTAACAAGGCGGAAGTTTACGTCCTATCTTACCCAATTCGGTGTGGAAATATCTCAAGACAGAAAAATCGAATTACAGAAAATTATATAAAATAATATCAATTAATTACAAACTAGAAATCTTTAATTTTAATATTTTAAGGTTTGGTTCGACTGACTGGAATTTTTTTATGCCATTCGCACCTTCTGTCATAAATGTAGCACCCCATCCATCCCCCCCCCCGCCACCACCACCACCACCTATCTAATCGAACTTGGTTCAGATTAGCCCATTTACCCCAAATTAACCAGACCACGTGACAATGTATCACGTGACGCCACTTTCAATTTCCCGCTTGAACACGAATATCTAGTCAACAAACGCATCAAGCACTCACTTGTCAAATGCCCTACTGCAGTTTTTCTGACACATCTGATTTCTATAGACTCAATTTTTGGCGAGACCATTTTTTAAATCCATTCTGCATGCTCAGCTATATTACCACTCAGAAATCGACAAAATGGGTGTGGGTCCCCGGCTTGATTTTTATTTTTTCCTTAAACTAAGTGAGCGGGAGTATAAAGTGCTATACAACCATTAGAGTTCAACGACGCTTTTTTAACTGGCAAAGACGTTTTTCAACGGAATTTCGTCCCTCTTAAAGTTAGTGACAGACTTCGCGGATCAAATTAACATCCTTAACAACTTAAGATCCTCCACCCCAGCGTTCAATATAAATCATTTTTGCTGAGCAAAAGAGCAGACTAGACTACTATTGGAAATCTATCTAAACTAAAAATAAAATAACAACTTGAGTTCAAATTGAGATTTGTTCAGACTGATTAGTTACGGATGGATATGCTTGGTTGTATAAACTCAAATGAGAAATGCAACAGTATTTTTTGACAGATTCTTAGAATTAACATAACAGAGTTTAATTTTACTTCAACAATATTCAACGTTCGGGTTACCTTCGATCTTGACAGCTCATTTCTTGACAGCTCAAATCACTTTAAACTAACATCTTAAATAAAATGCAGTATAGCAATAAAACAACATAAAGATACGTCACATTTCCCAAATGACGAATTTTTCAAAATTGCAAATTGAAGAAAAATTAACAAATAAAAAAACAATCATACAGTAAGGTTAAAGTTTCAGTTGTTATTGGAGTTTTCAGGTAGGCTCGTATGTTCTTACTACGGAGTGATGACGTGGCACTCAGCTCTTCGGCCGATACTGGAATGCTATCTGTAATACCTGGCTGTGCAGATGTGTTCGCCCCCGACACTTCCTTCACTGCATGCTTGACTGGGCTGTAGTAGAACTGCTTCTGCCTTTTGTTTCTTCCTGAAAATCCAAAGGATAATGAAACCTTGTCAATTCAGTCTTGAGGCGTGGAGTTTCATATTAGGCTCCAATATGAGATAGTTGTCAAAAAATACTGGAACCAAGTCTGGAGATCTGGGATGATATGCACGGCAGGACTCGCTTTCTCGATTAAAAAAATGTTGTTTCCGACAAATTGCTTCGGCGGGAAAGTGCTTATCTGTAGAGCTTTTTGTCTCCTTCTTTTTCGACTGTATGTTGATGAGAGATGGTTTTGCGTGATTTTTACTCGAAGTAGGCTTCTCAGTTGGCTAATATTCGGCTACAGGGGGAAAAATGATTTTTCCCCATTTTGATGATGACTTAGTTAGGTTTACCATTGGTGCCTGCGAGTGAACCAACCGTGGATCTTCGTTTATCAATATCTCTGTTCTTTTGTTCTAAAGTGTTAAAATGTCCTTTTGTGTAATTAATCTAAAATTTCATGTTGACTCTAAAATTTCGACTACTAAATGAGACGACGGGGAGATGATTTTCATAAAAAATTTCAAATTTTAGATAAAAATTTTTTCATTTTATTTTATTGTTTTTCATTTATTTTTTTTATTGTTATTACTGCTGCTCCATAAACTTTAAAAAGCAGTCGTAACGATCAGGGTTTCGCCCTGATACGAGCAGTCTTGTTTTATTTTATTCTCAATTAGCTCAAATGTTTAATTTCCACAAACGAGCTGATACGTGTTTTGAGCCTGTCATTCCCAAAAAAAAACCTTTTCGGTTTATGAAAGTTACAGACCGCCGCCAGACATTTGCAAGATAATTTTTACAATAAGACAAAATCTGCAACAGGATGATAAAGTCTGTCAAGTGATTTTGTTCTCATTTGTTTAAAACAAGACTGCTTGTTTGTCAAGGCGAATCCTCAAATGTTCAGACTGCACTTTAAAATCAATTAATTTTTTTGTTGTTGAAAAAATTAGTGATGTATTAAGAGTCTCTTATCTCGCGGTTATGACCAAATGACTTGCCAAAATTCAACTTTATTGTCCTAAGCCAACGCTTATTTATGTTATTAGAACACAATTGATTGCGCGTTAATTGTTCCTATATGGCCCAATTTCCAACTTTCAGACCCCATTAACATAACAAAAAGTGGCTGAGCTAAAAACTCGAAAACTTACTGATTAAAAAAATCACCCCATACATTAACATTCAGCTTTTTTTCAGAAGTCGGAACAATCAACTTAAAATATTACATCAGTCATAATTGTTGTCGCTTTAAATTTCTAGAAAAGTTGTGAGCTTTGGCCAAACGTCAAGAAGCCGCTAGTTGGCAAGGAAGGATAGCTTACATGGTTTTGCTTTGCCGCGCTTATATCCGGCACAAGAATTGTACTGCTCATGAATTGGGAGCTTGCCACCAACTATATTGTAATGCGTACAAATAAGGCAACAAGACTGCTCGTATCAGGGCGAAGCCCTGAATGTTCCGACTGCCTTTTAGGGATTTATCGAGCAGCGATAACATTAAAACATTAAATGTCATAAAATAGAATGAATTTTTTTTTTCTAAAATTTGAAATTTTCTTATGAAAATCAACCCCCACACGCCATTTAAAGTACAAAAGGATAGATTTAGCCCCTTGTAACAAATCCATTATGTCAAATAGCTTCTTTCAACCAATTTGGAACGATTTTAAGACGGATTAGCACTTCGCTTACCTTACGCGTTGATAGCGCGAAATATATCGCGCGTTAATTGTCCCAAATTGGCAAAAATGGCGATCTTTAATACCCCATAATTTTACGAAAAAGGATCACAGCTAAAATATCTTTTCAAATTTGAGCTCAGGACAACAATACTTTTTGAATGATTTTAAAAAATCCCGTCAAAAACGGCTAGTTAAAAAGTCGAAATTTGTCTGAAGAAAAGAAAACCCACCCCGAGCACAAATATTCCGTTACTTTTGTATCGAAAGTCGGAACAAAAACCAAGCTACCGGTATTGAAAAGAATCGGATTGCTATCATTTTATACAAACAGGGTATAAGAGACCTAAATATCGACTTGAATCGATTTAAAATTGTTTGAGTTTGATACAAAAACGTAGCTTAATAGTCAACTTTAATCAATTTTGACTCGATTTTTTTTGTCAATCACTTTTGCTTTCATTTTGCTATCGATTTTAGTATCAATAAAACTGATTAAATCGAGTTACTTCAAATCTTGACGAACTTTTTGTTTAATCATTTTATACAGATTATATAGAGATGAAATAGAGGAGTTTCATTCAGATTTTCTAGATTATCAAAAAATAGAGAAATATTGGAAACAAAATTTTAACGTCTGCTTTTCAAATAACTTTTCATTTTGATGTTCGGCCTGTAAAAACTATGACTATAACTATCACCTAAATTTTCTGCACCAAAGATGAGTTGTTCTAATTAGAATTTTTTCATTTTATGTAATCTTCCTATCAAAATTGAGCCTAGAACTTTGATAATGAAATTGAAATTCAAATTTTTTTTCGCATTTTTCTATTTTGCATTTTCCGCAGGAATCCTTAGTTCGGCACAATTTAAATTGCTTGCGGTAAATAAAAAAAAACTCTCCGTGATTGAATTTGCTCTATGTAGCTGTGATGGAGATTTTCTTGAATACATAAATCTAATCAAGCTTCGAAACAAAAAGATCAGTTAAGTTAGATGAATCATATTGTGATTTGGTGATTTTCACTACCTTGCAAAAATCCATTTAAATCCATTTTTTATGCAAAAAAAATGTTTTTTTTTCTCCCGTAAAAACTGATTTAATCTATTTTAAATTGATTTACGTTTTTAAATGGGCTAAATATTCGATTTAACTCAATTTGAATCTCAAGTGTTTCAGTGTGGGTAGTGTTGTATTGTTAAATTTTCAGGATATACGCTTTACATATTTGTATACATGACAGTTATTTGTATACAGATATTTGTATACAATACATTTTTTTTACAGAACAATATTTTAATTAGCTGAAGATCTTTATTTGAGCTGGCGCGACGAAAATAGAGGAAATTCTTCTTAGTCGGTCCGAACGTAATCAGTTTTGCTCGAGACGATCGAAACGTATTATGATTTTTCAGCCGAGACTGTCATGTCACAAATGAGCTCGTCGAACCTTGTGGTTCATTAATTACAGTCTTGTTCCGCTCCCAGTTTTCTCTTTCTCACTTTAATAAATAGTATTTTGTGACGATGTAGATATTGGAGCGAAGTACCACGAGGAGTTGATTATGAAGTTGGAGAGTGAGAGGGCGGAGGCTGTGAGGGGGGAGAGGGAGAGGGCGGAGGCCGAGGCGGAGGAGAAGTTGCGGGGGGAGGTGGAGCGGCTGCACCAGTATGCCAGACAGGACAGAGAGAGGGCTCTAAAGCAACTGCAGGCAATGCACGACCAACAACTAACGGTATACAGATAAAGTCGCAAAATTTTGCAAAAAAGTTATTGTTGCACAGCTTAAAAAGAGAGATTGTTTTAATTAAATGATTTTACGAATTTTTGATTTCATTATTTAGATTATAATTAGCGTAAGCTTTTGAAATGTATATCGAAAAGATTTTGGATTGCGTTATCGTTGAAAATAAATCGTTAGAAATTAAAACTTATTTTTGGCGCGAAAAGAGAAAAAATTGAATCCCTAAAGTATATTATCAAAGAGGTCATTTGGGTCGTTTGGACGCCCTTCATATGCCGGTTATCAACCGAATAACATTCAAACAAAACAAACAAAATAACCCACGAACAAGAAAACTTTTTTGTGAATTGTTATCTACGCGTATCGAGGTTTATATGCCGTTTTTCCATTATAGTCATTTTTTTTGTCTTTTTAAAAACTAAAATTATGTGACTAGTTTAGGCCAGACTTATATTTATAAAACTATTTTTTTCTCACGTCAAAAATCCCCATGTAATCGTTGATGACGCAGAATGTACATGTGGCTATAAAATTAACAAGGCGGAAGTTTACTGACTTGTGGTGTCAGTTAGTAACATTTAATAAATTATAAATGTTTCCGGGTGCGTAGGAGGAGAAAATGAAGATAGAAAGTCAGCTGAACCAGATGTGGCAGGTCAAATTGGAGGAGGTCAGTCATGTTCAGTTGTACATATTAACCCCCAATTAACCCCCACCCCCACCCCATTAACCCCTTTTCAACCCACTTCCTACGTCCTATCTTACCCAATTCGGTGTGGAAATATCTCAAGACAGAAATTATATGAAATTATATCAACTAATTACAAATTAGAAATCTTTAATTTTAATATTTTTAAGGTTTGGTTCGACTGACTGGAATTGATTTATGCCATTCGCACCTTCTGTCATAAAAGTAGCACCCCATCCCCCCCCCCGCCACCACCACCACCACCACCTATCTAATCGAACTTGGTTCAGATTAGCCCATTTACCCCAAATTAACCAGACCACGTGACAATGTATCACGTGACGCCACTTTCAATTTCCCGCTTGAACACGAATCTCTAGTCAACAAACGCATCACTTGTCGAATGCCCTACTGCAGTTTTTCTGACACATCTGATTTCTATAGACTCAATTTTTGGAGAGACCAATTTTTAAATCCATTCCGCATGCTCAGCTATATTACCACTCAGAAATTGACAAAATGGGTGGGGGTCCCCGGCTTGATTTCCATTTTTCCTAAAACTAAGCGAGCGGGAGTATAAAGTGCTATACAACCATTAGAGTTCAACGACGCTTTCTTAACTGGCAAAGACGTTTTTAACGGAATGTCGTCCCTCTTAAAATTAGTGACAGACTTCGCGGATCAAGTTAACATCCTAAACAACTTAAGATCCTCCACCCCAGCGTTCAATATAAATCAATTTTGCTGAGCGAAAGAGTAGACTAGACTACTATTGGAAATCTATCTAAACTAAAAATAAAATAACAACTTGAGATCAAGTTGAGGTTTGTTCAGACTGATTACCTACGGATGGATATGCTTGGTTGTGTAAACTCGAATGAGAATTGCAACTGTATTTTTCGACAGATTCTTAAAATTAAGTTAACAGACTTTAATTTTACTTCAACAATATATCAAGTTCGGGTTACCTATCCCGATCTTGACAGCTCATTTCAACTCACTTTAAACTAACATCTTAAATAAAACGCAGTATAGCAATAAAGTCAACATAAAGATACGTCACACTTCCCAAATAACGAATTTTTCAAAATTGCAATTTGAAGAAAAATTAACAAATAAAAAAACAATCATACAGTTAAGTTAAAGTTTCAGTTGTTATTGGAGTTTTCATGTAGGCTCGTATGTTCTTCCCACGGAGTGATGGTGTGGCACTCAGCTCTTCGGCCGATACTGGAATGCTATCTGTAATACCTGGCTGTGTCGATGTGTTCGCCTCCGAAACTTCCTTCACTGCATGCTTGACTAGGCTGTCGTAGAATTGCTCCCTGAAATTCTGCCTATTGTTTCTTTCTGAAAATCTGGAGGATGAGATGTTGAAACATTGGGGTTTTCTTTTTGGCTCCAATACGAGATAGTCGTCCAAAGATACTGCAACCAAGTCTAAGGATATGAGATGATATCTACAATGTGACTGACTTTCTCAATTATTAAATTTTTTGGTGTCTCTGTGCTGGACTGTAGGTTGCAGAGAGGTGGTTTTGCGCGGTTTATACTCAAATCAAGCTTCTCAGTTGACGAAGGTTCGGCTACAAGGGGAAGAATGATCCTTGACGATTTTGACGATGACCTACTTAGGTTTACCCTTGGTTCCGGCGAGTGAACCAACCCTGGATCTTGATTTTTCGACCGCTGTGTCTTCTTAGGCGCAATTGACCAAAAATTTTGGGTTGGCTTTATAAGTTGACGCGGTTTTGATATGCTCTATTAGTCACCCATTGGGTGCCAAATCTGCAAGTTGGGTGTCTTCTTCCGTTGATAATAATGAAGTGTCCAGAGGCCTCTTGCTCTTCTTAAATGCGGATGTCTTTGAACTCTAATCTAACACTCTACGGTTGTTACTTTATAGTCTTATAGCCAAATGCTTTTTTCTCTTAAATTTTCCTTCTTTTATTATTTGAGTGGTGTTTGTGACTTTTGTAAATTTATCACGTGATAGTTTGAATGAATGTTTTTCCGACATCTCTATTGGGCTAGGATTTGTTAAGAGTATTTGCTCAAAATTACCGTTTGACATTGATTTTAACGATCACCGTTTCCGATCTGAATCTCAAGTTTCCTTTCGAGAGTGAGACTCCTCTGAAGTAGGTTTTTTTTTTAATCTCTAAAACAAGTTGAAAAGATTCCTTGTAAGTATAATCGTAAACAATAACTGGTCCAGTTTTCAGAGACCAGGAATTTTGCGTTTTCCACTTTCCATCACTGGGATAAATTGTTAGCGATCAGTGTACCTTATAATTTATTAGGTTTTCTGTTGTAGTCAGTATAAGTTCTGTCCATTAGAAGGTATTTCAAGGATAGTATTCGTATTTTCTCCCCAGAATTCAAAAAATATCTGCTGGCTGTTTGCTGTTCTGAATTGAAATCAGAAACACAATTATTAAAACTTTTACCATATGTTCTGACTTGAAATCAGAAACATAATTCTTAAACTTTTACCACATGTTCTGACTTGAAATGATGTGTTTGCTCGGTTGATAAAATATCACCAAAAGCAAACATTACAGCATGTGTTGTTTCTTTCTGATTGGTTTAACCAACAGATGGAATGTTGAAAATATCAAAATCTATGGTATATAAGGCAAGCGAAAATATACCAAATATCACTTCATCACTTCATCACTTTCTCAAATCTCATAACCACTCTCATACTGAGACCCCCAACCATCCTAATAACCAAAATCTCAAATCTCTATCTCGATAACTATAAATCCATACCCCAATGTCTCTTGATATAAAATTGATGTGTGTCCTCTATATTTGAAATAATATACTTATTTACGAGTGAAAGAAACTTTGTCTGTTGAATAAGAATAGGAAAGTCTTAGCAACATTCAGAAAGACCCCTTGTTCTAACTAACTGCGATTTGGTCGATCGCATAAGTTAAGTCGAGTCATATAACGAGTCATATGACGAAAAATACCCAAAACAAAATACTTTCAGAGATAACGAACAAGCTGCAAAACAGCATTATGACCAAGAGAATAGGCAATCCAGCAGTGATCCTAGAGGTCGACAATATAATCAAAACGGATATAACCGAACAAATAGTCGTGATTCTGATAGATCAAGATCACCAGGATTCAGAATGAATCAAAATCAAGTTGAAAACACCCATTGGGTAGAAGAAGAAACTAACTACTGTAACGCACTGACAGATATGTTTCCTTTAAACTATTAAAGTCTCCGAAGCCAAGTGAAGATAGCAATCCAAAAGCAAGGATCTATCTCAATCTGTATCATTTCGCCACCGGAGACACAAATAAAAATAGTGGACTGGAAATTGAATTTATGGTCGATCCAGGATCAACTTGTAGTATCATAAATGAACCAACTTATCGAGAATTAAACAAAATTGGACAAAAACTGACTCTTTTCAAATCCCAAAGTAAAGCCAAAACTTACAACGGATCTGAAATCCGTATGCTTGGCCATACATCAATCGTTTCATGCTTTGATACCGACGGAAAATATCCAACAAACCACAAAGTCTGGATAACAGAAGAACGCACTGTTAATCTATTAGGAATCGACTTCTGTCATTTGTTTCTTAAAGCACTTTATTTTGATATCCCAGCAGTGGAACTAAAATCCGAAGATGGTGTCATCTCATATGGCTTATTAAACAATGATAAGGAATATCCGAATGTTTCTAAAATAGAAACAATCCGACTTAAAGATCCCCTATATATCTCACACCGCTCCTCGCATCTGTATAAACATACAGCTGAAACATATTTTAAAAAAGGAACTACATTTCTTCCTCACAAAGACACGTGTAAAACTGGTTTAATTTTCATGAATACCATTTGTGTTCAAACTGAATACAAACTCCCGATTTTGATTGAAAATCAACAAGACCACCCAGTAACCATAAATAAAGGCGTACTCGGATATGCAGTAACAGATATACAAGGAGAAGAAAAAGTATATGCAATCCAAGATTGCGATGAATTTACAGCAACTATTCTAAACGAAAGTTCAGAATTTGACAGTTGTTTCATGTTGAACACAATTGTAAACACCACACAAGAATGTACAAGCCGAGTTCATGATTCTTGTATAAAATACATCGATTTCCAACAACAATCCATATTCGAATCAAACATGCCAATTGCCCAATGCATTTCTGCTGATAGAGCCATGACCCAAGGCTTCGCCGAAATGGTCTGTCGACGATATACAAAAATGAGAGATTTTTGTAGCTATAATAATAACAGCGTGAACGAAATCATCGTTTATCGAGATTCCAGTTCCGGACAGATAATTTACAATCTGATCACCAAGGAAAGATATTTCCAAAAACCTACCTATCAAAGCATTCACTATGCACTAGATGAAATGAAACATCATGCGATTGCTAATAATATTCGTTGTATTGCAATGCCAAAAATTGCTTGTGGTCTAGACAAAATGGATTGGAAAGAAGTTTCTAAAATCATCGTCGACGTGTTCAGATTCTCTGGAATCACAATTTATGTCTATGTACCTGGTTGGGAACTCAATAGCATGCCTGCGCTAGAAGTATTCGATACAGAAAGTGTATCAGAAATATTTGAACAAATCGGTTCTGATATAGTTCAGGCCTGTAACAGCGATGGCAAACTAGCCACCGATTTCTCGGCTGATGCAAAGAATCTTTGCAGACCACTCGTTTGAGACCAGTTCCCAAAATATAGGAACAAAGAACAAAATGATCAACTGATCAAATTTATTGTAAGCGAAACATTTAAATCAGACGAACATTATACATCCAACCAGCAGAAAATTGATAGCACTATTCAATTCCTTTCCGAGTTTGATTTCACACAAAGTGATCTATCGGACGATGAGTTTGTCGATCTACTCCAAATCATCATACAAGACATTGATGTATATTCTCATCATAAGTACGATATTGGAAAAACGAAACACAAGTTCCATA